ATATGTACAAATTTCACTGACTAGAACGCAAAGAAAAACTTGTAAACAATCAGGCAGGCAATGGAATGTGGCAGTTCTTGGCTAAAGTTCCTGAGGATCGCTCTGTTGATAGTTTAGTGGAGTTGAATTCCAAGTCCAAAGCACAACCAGGCTCCAATTCTACACGACAACAACCCCATTTTCTTCCTTTGTATCTTTAGCTCTTCCTTCATTTCTTGTAGAACTTCATCATTAATGGAGAGCACTTTGTTGCAACCTTCCACACTGAATTCAACTTCCATCACTGCTTGGTACTTTGTCTTCAAGACTAATGGCTCTGCCAATGAACCACACGAAACAAGATTGGAGCCTTTGTAAAACACTAAGAAATCCAAAGGCTCAACGGAAATCTCCACATCGTTCCTTTTGTTGATGAAAATAAACGTGGCGGTCCAATTGGCAACCAATTGATTTTCCATCACCCTGAAATCAGTTATGGAAAATGAACCCAAATGTAGAACAAGATGTCGATTTCTTTGACCATACTTTTCATCTATGTCTATCAGGAACAGAACAAATGAAGAGAATGCTACAACGATCAATATGAATGTCAGGAAAACATAAAAGTCAAAGGACTGAAACTTTTCCTTCCATTGCCAACGCATGCCTGAATCATATGCATCAACAGCTTTAGAAAATCGAAATGTAGGCCTTTGATTCCAAGCCATGACGCTTGGGGACTACTGGTTTTTATGGGATGAAATAGTTGGAGAAAGAGTGAAAAGGGTTGTAGTGGTTAATATTGTATCGTTTTCATTGGGAATATATGCAAGACAAATGTGACAGATTGTTCAAATGCGCCTTACCAACTCATTATAAATTCCTAACTGTGATATCGGATGCCAATGGTTTCCGAATTCCAGGTAGGCTAATAAATAACTTAAAGTTGGTGGGTGAAAAGTGTCTCTAAAATGGTAACCGTAGATGTAACTAATTCATGAATTTTGACAACTATAAGGAAAGGAAAAGGCCTTCGGCTCCATCAATTACTTTTTTGATCAGTACTTTTGATAAATGCGTTTGATAACAATGAGTTTATTAGAAATTATTTTGCCCAAGAAAGTAATGAAGGCAACAAAACTTGGAAAAAAAAATGAAGACAACTATCTGCCTCTGTTTTTTTCCATTTCCACCCTTATTTCACCTGCAAATAATTGGCATGTAGGGACGCATAAGACTCCATTGTCAGGTTTGGTTAAAGAAGTTTCTTTTATTGCTCAAAGACCCTCGAGTTCAATTATGGGCTCGTTTCCCAAAAACTTTGCGGTACTCTTCTAATGGCCCAACCACGAAGAGAGTCAGCTGGATCTCTAGCCCATTTATAACCTGCTAATTTGTTTTACATGACTTTTAACAACAAAACCTTTAGGGGTTATATATACATTATAAGTTTATTTGAATAAAACCACTTAAAATAAAGAACAATTAAGGTAAAAATATTAATCAATAAAACTAGTTCTTTAGTTGTTATCCTGTGATGAAAGTGTGGAGGAATAATGGGGGTCCAACATTATTCCAATTTTGAAGGTGTTGGGTCAAAATTTAAGGACCCAAAGGGTTAGTCGTTGGACCCAAATGTTTAAGCAGCTTGATAACCCAAAAGTTGGTCTGCCGGCAAGAGGTGCTGCTGGTGGTAGTTGAACTATCGTGAAAGGTAGGTGAGAAAAATAATTTAAAAATTTAAAATTTAATTTAAAATTATAGTATTTAATTTGGATTGAATTAATTTTTATATTTGATTTTGATCAAATTTAAATATTAAATAAATATATTAAAATTAGATAAGATTTCTAATGGAAAGTGAAACATAAAAAAAAATCAAACTAAATTGAATTATATATTTTTAAAATTTTTATAAAATAAAAATAATAATTTTATATCAAATTTTATTTAAATGTTTTAAAAGTTTAAATTAAAATAATATATAAATATTAAAAAATTTTAAAATTAATAATTTGAATCAAATCAAACTCATAAAATTTGATTTTAATAAAAATTTAATTTCAATTAAATTAAATATTTAATTTAAATTTACATTAAATTTTAAAATTTATAATATTATATAAATTTTTAAAAAATCAAATCAAATTCCATTCGAATCAAATTATTATCACCGTAACTCTAACGTGTATCATGGTGACACTAGGGGAGCTGACTTGATGGCTTAGTGGTTCAGGCCATGTGTTTTATAGCTAGCTGCATGTTGGTGAGCTATCAAATTAATTACTTTTGATTATTAATAAGATAAAGCTATCTCTAAATTGAGTTTTGGTACATACGTAGCATAAAATGTTCAATAAAATATTTGATAAGAATATATTTTGTTTTATTTGTTTTACTTGCATCATAGGCAATCATTCCTCAAATGGAATTTCGTTAGCGATGGATTTTTAAACGTATCGGAGTCAATTTTTACTAATTTAAAAATATTTAATTATTATTTTAAAAAAGTTTTTTTTCTTTTTTTTTTTACAATTAACCATTTTTACCAAATAAAAAAATGCATCAATTGCAATTTTTTTTATTAAATATTGTCCTACTTGGTCTTTGTAATCTCCAATCACTTCTTGATATAAGTTTGGGTCTCTTCTTCAAGCACTGATATAAAGTAGAGAAATAATTTCCTCTCTATGGCCTATGGAAGCCATAAGTGGAAGGAAGGAAAGGACCTCTATATATTTGTCTACGGGATTAAAACCCTATAATTGCAAATAAATAAATAATTGAAACAATTGGCCAACGAGAAGCCAAGTATATATCCTTGCTTTGTTTTGAATTTGCAGAACACTGTTCAAAGAGTTGTGGCAGAATATTTGGAAGCCTATAAGATAGATTGGGGTCGGGATTGTTAAGCTTGAAACCTAAGTGGTATGTGCTTTTCTCTCTCTTATTTACTCCTTCCACAACAAAAATCGATGGATCTTTGATTTTCTCTATACGTTTTAAAAAACTACTTTTATTTAAATTTACTCTTTTGGTCGATCATCTTATAATTCTCATATTATTAACCAACCAAATTATTACTATTTGATTATAATATTTGTAAGGATAAGTAAGTTGAATCGTTTAACAACCCTTTCTCCCACCAATTATTTAAAGTATTAACACATTTATGAGTATAATTTTTCCCTGAAATTAATGTCTTAAAATAGTTATGAATTATTTGAAATCTCATATGCAGCTTTGTAAATATCTCATTTGGTTGACTGTAAGAGGCCTAATAAAGCACATGATTCAATTTGAGACCTACTACTACTACTACTACTCAGATGCAACAAGTAAAGGTAAGTATTAGTCAATTTTAATCTAAGAAACTGGTAAAAAAATCAAATTTTAATTAAACTAGGGTTAATACTTTTAGGTTTAGCGATTTTTTCAATTAAGCAGTTGATTTAGGTGAATCATGAATGAAATAGATAAAAAACCAAAAATTAGATAATTTTTAATAAGTAGATCGATTCTTTTTATAAATAGGTCAAATTTTTTAAAAAATATATCAATTCATTTTATAAAATTTTTTTTGTCTATTTAAAATTGAAAATTTAAAAATTTTAAAAAATTGATTGACTTATTTTTCCTCTTTTAATTTATCGATTCAGTTTTTTTAATTAATTTATAATCAAATTAATCAACCGATAAAAATTGAATTAATGGCAATTAACCAATGGTTAACCCCTAGATAGGAGTTCTAACTTGACGTACAATTCCTTAATTATATAAAATAAGCTTAAAAAACACGTGGTACGCCACAAACCCACAAGCTTTTAGATAGAAAAATAACTAAACAGCATAAACTTCCAAAAAAATTAGAAAAAAAGGTGTATTCGAATTATTTATTAAATTAATGTTTTAATATCATAAAAAGTAGCGCTGAATTTTCAAAACAGGCAGTCCCGATCTGAAAGTCTTATCAAAGCTAAAAATCATACAAAGCACTGTAAATCACATCTCAATTGTCAAAAGAAAAAAGAGAAAATACTGTAGCAATTTGTATTTTTGCATCGCATCTTTCATTAGAGGAAGAGAAAATTTTATGTATTTAATGCGTAAAAGTAACTTATTTTATGTCTCGTGCAAACCGTCAAAGCTCAACAATCACCATCCCTAATTGCGTATGTAAAGAGTTAGAGCTAAGATGATTCCATAAGTGGTGAGTTGAGACTTGAGAATGCGACTAATATTATCCATTAAACAGAGAAATTAACCAGTCAAATCATATATCAAATAAAAGATTAACGTGGAACCCAAATCGTTAAAAAAAGATCTCATTAATATAGTTTAAAAAAAGAAAAAATTAAAAGATCTGACAAATAGACAAACGAAACGCCTCCCAGAATCGCCAATGTCAACAGACTACAGAGCAAGCTGTTTCACAACCCATTCAGAGAGGAACCCATCATGCATGACTTAGACCTATTACATGTCTAGTTCACATCTTCATGATTTATCTCGCTTCACTTGCTTGAAAAATCGGTGCATATTTAATGTATAAGATAAGATTGTCTTGTATTTTAGACAAATTATTATTAGGATTAGATTAGAAAAAAAATTTTATTCATATTTTTTATATAAAATTATTATTAAAATTAAAATTTTAACATTTTTATCGAAATTATTTTGACCGTATCATTTTAATATGGTCAAACACAAAACAACAAATTTATGGGTAAAACATAGAAACCACCAAGAAAAACAGGGATCTGCAAAGGAATTGATTTGCTCTAGTCAACAGATGATTTGTTACTCAACGCAATTGAGTGGGTCGAGGGACTTAGGTGGCCAACCATGACCAGTCCTACTCCAGATGTGAAACGTGTCTCTCAGCTCTCATTTATGCCTAAACAAGGAAGCAAGATTCCTATGTGTGAACAAATCTCTACGAACAGTAAATGCTATTCTCGTAAATAACAACTAAATCACGGGGTTGTCTTCAAAAGACAACATTCAGTCCACCAACGCTTACTAATCAACGCCGAACAACAAAACAAAAGCTATAAAGTAGAAAGTTAGAAACTAACTATGGTTAAAATCCTCAATGTTATGGAAGTAAACCATGGTTAATTCATCCGCCCTAATCAAAACCTATCCCCTTTAAAAGCCTCACCCTCATGAGCAACCCAAAGAAAGAAAATGCGAGAAAAGTAGGAGGGAACCAAACAGAAACCGCAGGAAATTGCAAAAGCTTTCTCAAGAAAAGTGGCAATAGAAAAAAAAGGTGATACCTTGTCCTAAAAAATGGCGTTTTACGTCGATGAAGAAGAGGTTTGGAAATGTCCAAAGCATCCTTCGAAACGCCGCCGTAGTGGAATCTGTCCGGTTTGCCTCAGAGAAAAGCTTGCTTCTCTTTGCCCCGACTGCGCCCACGCGCGTCCTTGCGCATGTAGCGCAACCTCTTCTTCTTCATCCTCATCTTCCTCCTTCTATCGCTTCTCAACTGCCACAGCCGGGGATATCTCAGGTGTCGGCGCTTTCGGTCGCGTTCCTAATCTTATCGAAAGCGAACCTTCGTTCCGACGATCCAGATCCCTCGCGATTCCTTTTCTCCGATCGAAACCCGAGAGTTTAACCGAAAGAAATGATTTTGCGGGTAATAAGAGCAAGACGCCGTCTTTTTGGTCGATGTTTAGAGCTAGTAATAAGAGCAAGCGATACGAGAGTGAAGATCGTCAAATAAAGGGAGAGAATGATAGAATACCGGCGGAGGAAGAACGAAGGAGGATGATGAGGAAGTCAAGGTCGGTGGCGGTAACGTCACATTCCGGTATCGGAGAATTAAAATCGTCACCGTCTACCAAATGGAAGGGCTGGTATTTCCCGAGTCCGATGAAGGTTTTCAGGCAAACTAGGGTTTCCAAACTTGTTTTCCAAGAACGCTCTCCTTTGTATAGAGGCTGATTTCTTTTTCCTTTTTTTTTTTTTTAATTTCTATTTTTCTTTCTAATTTGTATAGCAAATAAGCAAACGTCAAAAATTAACAACAGAAATGAACGAAAGAGTATGACTTATATATTTAAAATTTTTGGAATTTGAGGTTCTGCAGCTGAGCTTTTATGTGAGAATGACTAATGCTAGAATGTTTGGTCAGACGAAGGAATTTGCATTTTTTTTTGTTTAATTTTGTGTTTAATATAAGATTATTGCAATTGATTTAATTGTTAATGTGATTTTTCAGGTAAATTTCTGAAATTGTATCAATTAAATTTCCTTGATCATAATTTTTTTCCTTAAATTCTCAACACAATTTTTTGACTATTACAGAGTTGAGAATTTTTGCATTTGATTATTAAACTTTATATTATATATGATTTGGAATTTTTAAATTTTACCAAATGGAATTAAAGAGATAATATATAGAATATAGTTCATTTAAAAAACATTATTATTATATTTTACATGCACATTTACATATGGAAAAGTGAAAAAAAAGAAATGTAAATTAATTGGACCCACAAACTTGTGGTTCAAGTGAAAATCATGACAAAATTATCACAACTTGTACCGTCAGAGATTGAGAGGGGGGAAGAAAATAAAAATCTAGATTTGTACCGAAAAGTACTTAAAGAGAATGATAACAACTTTTGTAAGGATGAATGAATTTATGTATATAATATTTTTTTAATAAATATAAAAAAAATAGATTACGAGTAAATTGTTATTTTTTTTTAAAAATCAAGTAATTTGGTTAACAAATTTAATGTGTCCAACACTTTTCGAGCAATGTGCATTTATATATAAATATCGCTAATGAGTGTTGTAATGTATTTTCAAGCTCAGATAAATTAAAAAATATAATATTTTGAGGTTAGTTAAGTATGATACTATTTTATATTAAATTTAATAATTGATAATTAATTAAAAATTATATTATATTAAAAAAACATGTTTTTAATATAATAAATTTAACGACTATCTAGGATTGATAATGAGTCAGATCGAAAGAGTTTTTACTTGTCTCAAACTCAATCTGATTTTATAATAATAAATTTATATTTGTACCCAATCTGAAGTTTTGTATTTTTAATATCCGAATCCGATATTTGCATAAACCGTATCTGACCCAACTCGATCCGACCCGAATTTAATAAAATATTATTTTTTAAAATATAAATATATAATTATATATAAATAAAAATTAAAAAATAATTTTTAATATAGTATCAGGTAGGGTCGAGTTGGGTTGGGTTTGCGTAAAATCCGAACTCCATCCAATTTCAATTTTTTTTAGTAATATCCAACCCGACCTGAAATTCGAAAAAAAAAATAAATCGACCCTATGAGATCGGATCAAATTGGAATCCATCTGTAAACACCGATTTTATCCGGGTCTACTATTTTAATTTTAATAATAATAATAATAATAATAATTATTATTATTATTAATTATATAAAAATATAAAATATAAAAAAATAAAAAGTAGTGTGGCTAGCACTGCTGCCGCCCCCGACCAGCCACCCTACAACCTCGACTAGCCTCTAACCAGCCCACCTACAGTCACCCTAAAGCCACCCAGATCCTTTTTTGAAGCTCTTTAAAATCTCCATCCATTTTTCCCCTCCAGCTCTCTGGAACCCCCCTTTTCGAAAGCTTTTTCGGATACACAGCCCCCCCTCTTTTGAATACCCAAAATCCTACCCTCCTATACTCAGAAAAACCCAAACCTTTCACGAAACCTCTTACCCGTCAGAAAACCAAACAAATACCCAAACCAAAGAAAGCAAACAAAAAAAACCAACACAGTCATCGCCTACGACGAGGAACCATTAGCATCAAGCAATCCCTGCAAAAATCAAAAAACAAAAAGTCAGTTTCTTAAAAAAAAAAGAAAAAAAAAGAAACCGAAAGTTTCAAGCCCCGATCTACGTCGATCGGGGCTGTTTCTGGTAAAACAAACTTTAGATCTGGGAAGATCTCGTTGAAAGGAGCTTCTAAAATTTTTTTGGTGTTTTCAACCGCTGGCGACCACCACTGACGGTGGACTAGGCAGTGGTCGACGCGGTGGTCCGACGATCGGACGACGAGCTCTCCCTCTCCCTTCCTTTTTTTTCTTTGAAAAACCAAAAGAATGAACAAATTTTTTTTTTCAGTTATATATAGAAAACATAAGGGCAAAACGACGTCGTTTTGGGCATATGACCAAAACAACGCCGTTTCAAGAGTAGAGGATCTACGCGTGGATCGAACCTGACCCGAGATCCGCATAACCCGACCTATCGATCCGCTTCAGCCAGCCTTGAACTGGTTCAGACGAACCGCTAATGAATCGGTTTGAATCGCTGGATCGTCCGAACCGTCGATCAAATCGTCGAACCGATCAAACTGGCCCAGACCAGCGTTGATCAGACTGTTGATTGATTCGGTTCAGGGAAAAAAAATTTTTTTTTAATTATTTTTGCTATTTTGAGTATTTTTTATTTATGTATGATAAGTTCTTAAATTTGGTGGAATAAATGTTTAATTGTTTTAATAATAATAAAATTGAAAACAAGAAATAATTAAAAATATATATTAAAAATGCTAAAAAATATATATTATTATTATTAATTTTTTTTTCTATTTAGATGTTGAAGGGAATAAAAAATATTTTTTCTAAAAAATAATTTCGCCTAGATGTTGAAAAACTATTATTAATAAATTTTCATAAAAAGAAATACAAGAAATTTTTAAATTAATTTTCAAAAATCATTAAAATCGAACTTGCTTCGAAAATTCATCTAGATGTTGGAGATTTTTAAAGATGTTCGTATTTTCTTAAAAATGAAACCTTAAACACTAATTTTTAATTTTCAAAATCCTAGGTTTCTAAAATCTCTAAAATCCAAAATCTCCTAAAATCCAAAATCCTAAAATCCAACACCCTCCAAAATCCAAAATCCCAAACCTTTAAATTTTTGAATCCAAACCCCAAAATCCAAAATTTGTAAAATCAAAACCCTAAACCTTCCATATCCTAAAATTAAAGTTTTAAAACCCTCTAAACCTTAAAACCAAACCTTCAAAACCTCTACTCAAGCCCTTACTCAAAACCTCATAAAAATTCTAAGGACACGTGTGAAAATTTTATTTGAAATAATTTGTTCCCGAATGCTGCCTAGATGATGGGGTATTTACGAAATTTTACTTCGTTAAGTCTTTTCACACGATTTCTTAATTCGCTTTAATAATAAGATTAATAAATAAAAAGTATAACAGTAAATTAAGATCTTAAATATAAATAGTCGCACCTAAACTCTGCCTAGATGTTGGAGAGTCGGGGTGGCCTCATTATACTTAAGAATCCAACTTTTAAATTGCATTTTATTTTACATAACATTCATTGGCATACATATGTTAACATGTTATTATCAGTAATTATTTGTACTATTCTGTCTTTAATTTTTATTTACTAATTCGTGATAAAATATTTAATAAAAAAAATAATACTTTTTAAAAAAAATTTATGATAATACAAAATAAAATAAAAATAACATTCCAAAAGAAATAATTCTTGGTACTCCGCCTAGATGTTGGAGAGTCACCAATAATTTTCTATAAAGAGTGTTATTTCATTTTAAAGATTGTTGTGTTAAATCTTAAGCGAAAAGAGTTATTTCAAATTCTGCCTAGATGTTGGAGAATTTTAAGATAATTCTTTAACTTAAAATTTTTTTCAATATTTCTAAATAAAAATTTTAGCAAAATTTTATTTTTTCAAATGAAGAAAATTATTGTTAAATTTCAAATTAAAATCATTTTTATCCAATACCGAAAATAGCGCGTAATTAAATAGTACCAATTTATGGGTGTTGTGGGGTTGCTAATCCTTCCCCACACGTAACCGACTCCCGTACCCAATCTAATATTTCGTAGATCAAAATTTATCTTTTTGATAAACTTTAAACCAGTTTTTATAGTTTTATTAAAAAGATAAACATTTTGGTGGCCAATCACACTCTAACAAAGATTGGTGGTGACTCTTTTTATTTCTCTCGATTTTAAAACTCAATTCACGTCCGGTGGTCTCAAAACTGTTACGACAGCTTGGCGACTCCACATGAGACTTGTTTGAGAGTCGGGCTAAAATTCTAATTATACGCTATTAACAATGGTTGGATTTAATTGATTTTATTTGATATTTAATCTAATTTTTTTAATTTTTTTTGAAAACATTAATGTTAATAAATAAAATAAATTATGTGTTAGTTATTACTTTATTTTGATTTTGTTTTTGATTTATTCATGTTATTTTGATTAATACATTACCTTGTACACACTTTGCATATTCACTCGCATGTATGAGCTCTATACCCGGGCTTCATCCTTTTTAGAAAGAAGTGAAGTAGCTACGCTCTTATGAGGTGATAACCTCCGTATTTGCTAGTAAAAAACTTTCACTCAGATTGAACCTTTTCTATTAATAACCCATAATGGGCGAGAATCGGGGAACCTTACTAGTCTATAATAAACGATGATGTGAGGAATAGTCTGGAAACCTTTAGACATATAAATCCTAACCCAGCATATCGTGAGCCGTAGGAAGCCTGCCTAGGATAGAGTCAGGCCACCTTTTAAAAAATTACCAAAAATTAGGACATTATACGTTATATTATTTTGTTGTATGGTTATTATATTACTTTTCTTACTTATTTATTTTGAATTCTTGAGTCATTTTATTTTATTTTATTTTTGATTTTGTGCATTATATTTGAATATGTGGTGTTTATTTTAGGTCAATCATTGAAAAAAAAAAAGATAAAAGAACATTTTCAAAGATTAAAGATTTTTCTTAAATCTTTTGTTTATTGGCCGAATAAAGACTAATTTTCAAGCCTTATTTCTTTCTTTTTTCCTTCTAAAAAAAATTCATATTTTATTTCATCTTTTGCATTTCATACGTCATACATGTATCTTATCTTATGCGCATTACAACAGGATAATACGTGCATTCCATCCCATCCATATCAATAGGTAGCACACGTATTTTACTTCATGCACGTGCATCCTATGCACTTCTTGATAAGTAATGCATGCATTCTATCTCGTTATGT